TCACCGTGGTGGAGCCCCCAGGCCCCCGGGGGACCCGCACGGACGCTCCCTCCGCCGGCCCTGTCCTCTGCAGCTCCTCAAGGTGCCCCCGGTCACCAGGACGTCACCGCCACCGGGGCTCAGCCCCGTGTCCCCAGCGCCCGCGGGGACTCCCCCCGGCCCCCCGCCGATGCCACTGAGGACTTCTCCGGTGATGCCATGTCCCAGGAGGACGGTGGCCCCGTCCCACCACGGCCCCCACTGCCCCCGGCCCCGCTGGTGGCCGAGAGCCCTGAGGTGGTCCTTTGGCCCCGCGGTGCCGGCAGTAACGGCAGCGGTGCCCCGGGTGACGGCTCGCTGGAGAGGCAGAAGAAAGCAGTGACCTTCCTGCACCCAGGTGGCCCCTCCATAGGGGACCCCACCACCCCTGGCCCCACCGAGGTGGCTGCTCCCCAGCCCCAGAGTGGGCTGAGTCCCACAGCTCCCTACGGGCTGCCCGAGCTGCCGGGCCAGTACCAGGATGCTGGGAAGGGCTCAGTCACGTCCAGCAGTGGAGCAGCCGTGTCCCTCCCGGTGCGGGATGTCTCCAGTGAGGTGACCCCATGGGCTCACACTGAGTGGCCGGTGCTGGAGCCGGCAGCTGAGGAAGGATCCACAGGCTTTGCCCCTGGTCCCACCAGCCGCACTGCACCAGGGTTGGGGGGAGCAGAGCATCTCCTCCTGTCCCCCTCCAGCCCACGGCAGCGCCCCACCAGCCCTGGCCCCCCAGGTGTCCCCAGCCATGAGGACGCAGCCACAGCCCCTGTCGAGGAGGATGCCTCTGGAGAGGTGAAGAGGGAAGAGTCTCCCGTGGCTCTGGGCTCCACCACCGGCAGTCCCTGGCCATCACCCACTGCCCCCCGCCCATGGGAGCCGGAGGCACCGGAGTCCCCAGGTGCGGGGCCGCTCTTTGAACCCTCCATGGCAGCAGAGCTGGAGGGAGCCCCGCTCCTGGACGCTGACAGCGGGAGCGGTGAGGAGCCAGCACTGGAGGAGCGGGAGCTGCTGGCCTGGGCAGGCACCGGCAACGCCAGCCAGCACGGTGAGCGCAGCGCTGATGGGCACAGGGCCAGGTGGCAGGAGAACCTCAGGGTCGTTTCCCCTCCCAGTGTGGTGCCAGCCCACGGGGTTGACTCTGAAGTGGAGGTTTGGGAGCGTTTCTCCATTGACCCAAACCAATTCACTGGCTGGGGAGCTTCCAGCAGCGGTGATGGGCCAGGAGCGGGTCCTGGGCTCCTCAGCTGGAGCTGAGCTGTGAGCATGAGGGGGAAGCGTCCTCTCTACATAGTTAATATTTGCAGTTGCTAACAATAGCAACGCCAGTGGAGAGGCAGCTGCTGGTGGGACACAAACAGGCAACACACACACATCTGAAGCGTAGAGCCTTTGAGCAGGCAGGACCGGCACCGCATGTGGCAGGCGGCAATGCCGGGGCAGGTCCCGGCGCTGGTTTCCCATGGCGTGGGTGCTGCGGTGTCCCCCCCACCCCTCACCCTGGCTCAGGGCACCCGCTCCCACCCCGCAGCTCCATCAGACCCGTGCCAGAACAACCCGTGCCTGCACGGGGGGACCTGCCGCGCCAACGGCACCGTCTGCGGCTGCAGCTGCGCCCCCGGCTTCACCGGGGAGAACTGCGAGATCGGTGCGTGGCGACTGCGGGCCTCGAACCCGCGGCCTCGCGGCCGGGGAGCCCCCGTCCTCGGTCACCGCTGGCAGCGGTGCTGGAGGGGACGGTGGGTTCGGGGCTTTGAGGGGGTCTAAGCCGCAGCCCCCTTTGTCCCCGCAGACATCGACGACTGCTTGTCCAGCCCCTGCCAGAACGGGGGCACCTGCATCGATGAGGTCAACTCCTTCGTCTGCCTCTGCCTGCCCAGCTACGGCGGCAGCCGCTGCGAGAAAGGTGGGGAGCGCAGCCCCCGTGTCCCCACGGGGCGTGTGGCCATGGGACACTGCTCAGTGCCTGTGCCTTTGGGGATGAGTGAAGGGAGCTGCTGCCTGCCTCGCCCTGGCAGTGGCCGCCTTCACCATCCCCTTGTCCCTGCAGACACGGAGGGCTGTGACCACAACTGGCACAAGTTCCAGGGTCACTGCTACCGGTACTTCGCACGCCGGCGTTCCTGGGAGGATGCGGAGCGGGATTGCCGCCGCCGCGCCGGCCACCTCACCAGCATCCACTCGCGGGAGGAGCACAGCTTCATCAACGGTACCCCCACCCACAGCTCTGCGAGCGTCAGCACCCCTGCGTGCTCTTCACTTTCACTGTGCAAGCCACGGGTCCTTCTCTCCACAGGCTTTGGGCACGAGAACACCTGGATTGGGCTCAATGACAGGATCGTGGAGCAGGATTTCCAGTGGACCGACAACACCGGCTTGGTGAGCCCCTCGGAGGTGCATGGTGTGGCTCAGGGTGCGGGGAGGGGGGGACAGGGGTTCTTACCCTCTCTCGTGTCCCACCAGCAATACGAGAACTGGCGGGAGAACCAACCCGACAACTTCTTTGCGGGCGGTGAGGACTGCGTGGTGCTGGTGTCCCATGAGATTGGCAAGTGGAACGATGTGCCCTGCAACTACAACCTGCCCTACATCTGCAAGAAGGGCACAGGTACCCCTGCCCCGGTGTCCCCATCCCGAGCCCAGGTTGGATGGGGTAACCTGCTCTAGTGGAAGGTGTCCAGGGGTTGGAGCTGGAGGAGCTCTAAGTTGCCTCCCAACCCAACCCATCCCATGACTCTAAGATCCCAGGCACATCCTTCTCCTCAGGGAAACCTCTCCCAGCCCTTAGCCCAGAAACCCTCGAGCAGTTCCCCTTAATCTCCACTTTTTCTCCCCACAGTCAATTCCTTCCTCTCCACTTCAGTTTGTTTCATTTCCCACCATTAAAACTATTGAGCCTCATCCCTTATCTTGGAAATTCTATTAACCTCCAGCTGCTCGCTGGGATTCCGCAGGCCGCAGTTTAATGATGCTCTTGCCCCAGTAAGGCCATTAATTAATGAAGTAAATCCTGGGGAACATCCTGCTGCCTACCTGATACCGACTCCTAAAGCATCCACCACGCTCCGGCTTGCAGAGAGGGGCATTGGGTGTCCCTTTGTCTGGTGATAGGGGGGTGATGTGGGTCTGTGTCCCCCCCAGTGCTGTGCGGCCCCCCACCGGAGGTGGCAAATGCTTTCACTGTGGGGAAGAAGAAGGAGAAGTACAGCATCCACTCCAGCGTGCGCTACCAGTGCGAGGAGGGCTTCACCCAGCGCCACGTGCCCACCATCAAGTGCCACAGCACCGGCAAGTGGGACCGGCCCAAACTCCTCTGCACAAAACGTTAGTGGGGACTCAGGGGGGTCCAGGGAGGGTCAAGGCAATGGGTCCCTGCCAGGGCCGCGGTTCCTGACCCTGCCATGTCCCCTCTTGCCCCTGTTAGCCAGGCGGTCACACCGAGCGCGGCGGCACCACCACCACCGGCACAGCCACCAGCACCACCAGCACCACCACCACAAACCCCGCAAGGAGCGGCGAAAACACCGCAAGCACCTCCGGCTGGACTGGATGGAGGAGGGCCACTACTTCTAGAGCCGCGGGACAATGAAGCACAAGGGTCCCCGATGGGACGTGGTGACATTTCCCAACCCCTTCCCACCCCTTCTCTTTTATAACCCCCTTGGCTTTAGCTCCTAGGATGCCCGGCCCCGTAGGGAATAGGATCCAGAGGGGGCGGCTGCGTGTGCGTCCCCATCCCTCCCTGCATGCCCCATACTCAGCCCCCCCCCCCCCCCCCCGGCCTGGGGTCGAGCCCCCAGCCCCGCTTAGGGACCCCCCATCCATCCCTGGGGGCTATTCCCTGGCTGGGCTCTGGTCCCCTCCCCAAAGGGGGGGTTAATTTACCCCCCCCATCTCCCACCTTGGCCATGTGTCTCGCTGGCCCAGGGTGGCTCTGGTTTTTTAGCAGCCCCCCATTTTCCCCCCCCAGCCCTGCCCATGGGGGACCCTGCCCGGCACTGATGATGCCACCGGGGCCATGTCCTGCTCTGCCGCCCAGGCCGGGCTTGGTTTGGTTTTCCCCCTCCCCGTCGACCGTCGGGTCCCCGTTGGAGTCGGTGTGTGTGTGCGTGTGTGTGCGTGCGTACGGCGCTTTCTGATCTCTGCTGTTTGCGACGGGCATTGTCCCAGCCCCCCCCCCCCCCCCCCCCCCCCATTTCTGACTCTGCCTTTCTGTACTGCTGGACATTTTAATAAAGTTTTTTAACAGTTGAGCAGCCCCATCCCTGGCAGTGTTCGAGGCCAGGTTGGACACAGGGGCTTGGAGCAAGCTGCTCCAGTGGATGGGGTCCCTGCCCGGGGCAGGGGTTGGAGCTGGAGGAGCTTTAATGTCCCTTGCAACCCAAACCATTCGATGACTGTCCCAGGGCTCGTTTTCCAGCCCCACCGCTGCCTCACAGAGACGGTGATGGATGTTTCAGGGCGCTGAATGCTGCCTGCATTAACCGCAGGTGCTGCCCCCACCCTGGCTGCCATCCGTCAGCGTGTGATGACCACTGCCCCTGGTTCCCATTGTCCTCTCCCAGGGATCGTGGTGGCTGGGGGGGCACATCCCCGTGGCTATGTATTCTATCAGCGCTGGCAGTCAGTAACGGTGATGAATGGGCTGTGCTCAGCGGGGCCGGGCATGGGGGAAGCCCCCAGCCCCCTCTGGCATGGAGGACCTTGGGGTCCCTACCCATGCTCTGCCATCCCCAGGGTGGCTCCTGGTTGCTGCCAGCACTGGGATGCTCCAGGGTAGCTCTGCTGATCCCTTGGATCCAGTCCCGATAAAAGACAAGGGATGCTGTTGGGATGCTCCAGCTGGGATGCTCCAAACATGCCCAGCTCTGGCACAGCAGGGCCAGGGTCTCTGAGCAGGGAGGGACTATACGGACATAGCCAAGGTTCCCTTGCACCCGCGATGCCGCTCGAGGGTGGCACCAGCGAAGGACACACGCGAGCCCGGCTCAGCTCTCCAAAGCGGCCGAAGCTTTTATTTCATCTACGTCCAGCTCACGAGCGCCAGGGCTGCAGGAAGCCTCGAGCCGGGGCGCAGGGCACGGAGCCCACCCAGCACCTCCCCGCTCCCACCTCTGCTGCTGCACGGAGCCAAGCACTGAGGAGCTGCCCGAGGCCCAGGCCGAGGTGTGCACTGAGCTGCAGGGGCTGCGGGTGCCCCCGGCGACCCACGCTGCATGAAGCCAAGCCCAGTGCCCCCCATCCCCTGCGGGGACGGACTGGTGCGACGGTGCTGGTTGCATCTCCCGGGGGGTTCAGTGCTGCATAGCCCCAGGGACAGCGCGGAGCTGGGGACGGTGGACATGAGGATAAGGACACTGTGGGGCTCTAGCCTGCTTTGCTCTGGATGGGCCTTTAGCACATGCAATGCGCTGATTGACAAGCAAGAGCTGCGATGAGCTGGGAGCCAGCCCTGGGTCCAAGCGCAGGCTCCTGGCTGGGTCAATGAAGCTGCTCCCCTCCCGCTGCCTCAGTTTCCCCAAGTGTCACCAGGCTTCGTGCGCAGCCCGCGGTGCAGCTCCTGCACCGGTAGCGCGTGGACACCTCTCCCAGTCCAACACAGGAGCTGCCTGCAGCTCCCCACGCTGCGGGGCAGCAGCACCAGGGAGCCCAACACATAGAGACGGGGTTGTCCTGGCCAAAAGGTTGGGGCGCTCCCGCAGAGGGTGACCCTCACACACGGTTGGGGTGCCCCCCCCCACCCAGCGCCTTCTCCGGAGCAGCCTCCCCGGCCTTTTTAAAGCAATAAACCCCAAAAAGCTTGTACTTCTTGTCGGGGAAGCCCAGGTTGCGCACGCCGGGCTCCCGGCCGCCGCAGCGTGCCCGCGGGTTGACGATGGGGTAGCGGATGCTGCCGTCCTCCAGCCAGCCCGCCTCGCAGCGGTCCAGCAGCTGGATCTTCCAGGCAGCGTAGAGCTGGCCCACCTTGGCCACGGCCGCCCCGTTGTTCTTGCAGGCCTGCACCGCCTCGGCGTAGCTCAGCTTGCGGTACGTCTTCAAGAAGTACACTTTGCCTAGGGGGGACAGGCACAGAGCAGAGGTTGCTGGGGATGGGGACATCCTGTATGTGGTCCGGCACCGGCATCCAGTGGGCTGGGATGGAGCAGGGATGGGGGCTGTAGACCTTTCCCCAGTGTGTGTTTTGGAGGGGAGCAGCCGGCTGGGCTCTGGGCAGATTTATGGGATCTCCTTGTGGTGATTACACCTACGATTTATTCTGCTGTCACCACTAAACCAACAGCGGCGGAGCCCCCGCGGCCCTGCCAGCAAGGAGGAATCCACACAGCCCCGCAGCCAGGCCGGCTCCCATCTGTCTTGCCAGGCCCTGGCCTCATCCATCACCCCTGCTGTTTGCTGCTGCAGTTCCCTCCGCCCCCTGCTCCTGCCCAGAAGAGATGGGTTTTGCTAAGAGCACAAAGGCAACAGGGACAAATCGTGGTCCTTGCTGGGGGTTCCCAGCACTGAACCCCCACTTGATATGTAGGGTTCTCCAAGGAAGGCACATACAGCTGCACCCTTCTCTCATCCAGAGCTGAACCACCATGGGAAACCCCCCCCATCCCACCCAGCCAAATCAGGGAGCTGGGTGCTCCGTGCCTCAGCTTCCCCTCGGTTACCATGAGGTTGGAGGTGAAGCAGAAGGCATCATAGTGCTCGCTCTCCTTGTGCCGGTACCCGTAGTTTCGGACCCCCACCGGCGTATCCTTGCGGCCGCACTCCTCCCGTGGCCGGGAGATGGGATACTGCACGGAGCCGTCCTCCAGCCAGCCGGCGTTGCACCAGTCCATGCCCTCCAGCCAGGCCTGGTGCAACTGATCGTGTGAGGCCAGGATCCCATCCTGCTCCAGGCACGCCTGCTGGGCCTCATGGAAGTTCAGTGTGTAGCGGCCCAGGCGTGGGTGGTAGGGAAGATCACGCCTGGAGGGACAGAGAGGAGGGGCTGGGGTACAGGGGGGGTGTCCCCCACCTCATTTTGAGCCGGTGGATGGGGTCATCAGCATGAGCTGGAGGGGAACAGGGGCTGGTGCTGAGGGCTGGAGCCAGGGAGGAGAGCTGCCGTCATCTCTGCTTGGGGAGTTTGGGTGCTCCAGGCTTTGCTCAGGAACCCCAAACCCTCCACTTGGCAACTGCAGGGACCCCTACGGCACCCCAGGGACCTCTATGGCACCCCAGGGCTCCATGAGCTGCTGCCTGGGGGACCTGGAGACATCAGCAGTACCTGCACAGGCCCAGCCAAGCCCCAGCATCCCCAGAGCAAGCCCATACTGGCCAGAGCAGCGCTACTGCACCTCCTGAGCCCCCATAAAAGAGTTTTCCTGCTTCCCCAGCCACAGCAGCCCAACCCAGCAACGCTGCTGCCACAACCTGGTCTGTCCTGGTGCTTTACGAGGCCGCACCACTATCTATCTCCAGCATTTATTAGCTGCCAGCCCGTAAACCTGGAGCAACAATAAAAGCCAATAACAAGCAATAAACCACGGCACACGCCAGGAAAACAACCGGCTGTAAAGCAGGACCGAGCCCAGCACCGGGAACCACGTCCTGGCCAAGCCTCATCCCTGCTGTAGCAGCATCGGTACCTTCGAGGTCCAGCTTGACCATGCCGGCGTCGTCCTCCAGCTCGTTGGTGACCCTCGCACTCGTAGCGGCCGTAGTCTTGCAGGGTGACGTTGCGGATGATGAGCGAGGCGTCGCCGAAGCCGTCCTCCTGCAGCGCCGTGCGGCCGCGGTAGCTGCCGAACGCCCGCCGCGCCTTGCCCAGCGCCACGAACACGTCCACGAAGGCCATGGGCTCCGTCACCTTGGTCCACTTGAGGCGGATCTCGGCCGGGTCGTGCGCAGACACATCGTAGTGGTAGCGGCAGGGCAGGATGATGGTGCCACCCCGGTGGGTCACCACCTTCCCTGGCGCTGTTTGCACCACCACGGCCCCGCTCTCACCCTCTGCAAGGGACACTGAGCTCAGGCGTGTCCCTGTCCCCAAGCCTGATGCTGCCTCCAGCCCAGGCAGGACCCACAGTGGGGACAAGGAAGGCTGGGGGTAATTTAAGCAGGAATTTCCCTCCTTTGGGGGCTTTGCAAACCCCGAGGAGGGTTGGGTGGCTCCTGCCCAGGGCAAGAGGGACACAAGGAAGCCTTTTAGTGCATATTAGACCCAACAGCTTGATGGCTGCAGGACGGTCCCCTCCATCCCATCGTGGGGGTGCAGCCCAGCTCGCTCCTGCACATCCCCATCCCCACTCACCCATGACATGGACCACCTTCTTCCGTCCCCGGGCGCTGGGCACCGTATCAGAGGCGAGGACGCAGGTGAGGAGCAGCAGAGCTGCGGGGAGAGCAGCCCAGGGGCTTCGGGGACACATCTGGGAGTAGAGCAGAGCCCCTCAGCACCCACCGGTCCCCCGGGTGAGTGCGTGAGCAAACAGAGCCCCGGCTTCAGCAGCGATGCTGGTCCCCAGCGCACACCCCTTGTGGGGAAGCTCCTGGCCCCGTCTCCCACCCCACCCACCCCGAGCAGAGGGGGGTGACCGGCAGCGCCGGGTCCTGCTCTGAGCATCCCCGGTGCGCAGGGACCCCCGTGCCCGGCGGCCTGAACTCCGCTTCACCCGCTCGGTTACAGCCGGGATGAATATTTCATGGCAGGCGCTCGGGGCTGGATCTCCTGAGTTATTTATGTCGGCGCTGGCACATCTGGAAACTGAACTGATGGCGCTGGAGTGGCTGCGGTGGATGGAGCCCCCCGGCAGCATCCCCCTTCCCTAGGGCAGCCATGGAAACATGTGCTGGAGCCCCCCAGCTCCTGGGGGCTGAGACACCCCCCCACAACCCACCCCCGCACTGCAGACTTGGTGGATGAGCCCCCAGTTCTCACGGGGTGCCCCAAATCCCAGCCGGGCTGTGGGTCCCCCTCACCGTGGGAATGATCCCCCCCGGAGCGCAGTGGGGCTGGGGAAGGGGAGCCAGGGCCTGGCTGTGGGGCAGGGGGAGGGAGGCGGCTCCCCGGGGGTCCCGGTGCGCGGTTGGGAGCAGGGGGAGCGGGGCAGCCCCGGGGCTGCCGCCGCGGTGCGGTGTTGCAGTGCGGGACACTGCGGCGGCAGCCCCGGGGCTGCGGGACGCCGGTGCCCGGGGTCGGGCATCGCAGCGCCCGGGGTGGGGGGAAACCGGCCCGGCCCCAGGCAGCTGCCCCCGCCCGGGGTGCCGGTACCCGCGGGTCCTCCCCGGCTCCTCGCAGCCCCCTGCACTCACCGTGTCTCTGCGGGCGCCGGTGTCCACCCGCGGGAGGGGCCCGCCCGCAGGAGCGCTCCGGTACCGCCGGTGCTGCCGGTGCGGCTCCGCGCAGGGGGCGGCACCGGGAGCTCGGCCCGGCCCTGCCCCGGCTCCCGGAGCTGCGCAGGGCCGCCGGCTCGCCAAGGTCACCGGTGCCCCGGTACCGCCGGTGCCCCCGGCCCGGGATGCGAGGGGAGCCCGTGGGGTGGAAGGAGTTTTACCCCGTAATTCCCCATCCAAGGGCAGCGCGGAGCCACCGCCAGCACCCACCTTTGTACCCCCCTCGTGTACCCCCACCCGTGTGCACCCCCAGGCTCACACCCCCCAACCCCACCCTGAGCCCCTCCAGAGAGGGCGGCAGGGACCCCCCCCCAACCCCTGCACCCCAAAGAGCAGGAGGGGGCCAAGTCCGGCAGCTCCTCCGTGCCCCTCGGGTGGGTGACACGGGGGGTCCAATGCGGTGCTGCTGCCACTGGCCCGGGGGTGACAGCCCCAGCCACAGCAGGGACACCGGCGCAGAGGCCGAACCTTCGCTCCTTTATTGTGTAAACAGTGTTTTCCTGGCAGTCCTCACTCCCGTGTCCTGCTGGGGTGCGACGGGGCCCCCCCAGCTCCCGCAGCCCCCCACCAGCGGGACCCCTTCAAGCCCGGGCAAGGGCAGGGCTGCGGCTGCAGCAGTGGCCCTGCAGAGCACCACGGGGTCCTCCTGGTGCAGCCCACAGCGTTAGGGGATGCAGGGGGGCTGGGAGCATCCCTGGGGACACCTCTGCCAGGCGGGTCTCACCGCAGGCTGCTCCGGTGCCACTGCAGGAGAAGGGGGCCGGCAGCAGCCCCCGGGGCGGGCAGGACGGGTCACTGGTGCTTCTTGCCCCCGTGCAGGCTGGCAGAGGTGGCGGGCAGGAAGAAGGCAGGGCTGCGCAGGCAGCGCAGGGCCAGGAGCTGCGGCCCCAGCGCGTAGAGGACGTTGGTGAGGAGGAAGCTCCACCAGACATCCTCAGGGGTCTGGTAGGGGAAGGGCGTGCGGCTGTGCAGTGAGGAGCCCACGTGGGAGAACTGAGCCTGGGGATACAGGGCAGCAGTGGCACAGGGTGGGTGACAGCACCAAAGGGCGCTGAGCAGGAGCACACCCAGCACATCCTATCTATAGACCTGCCGGCTCGCTCCAGCCTATTTCTGTCAAGCTAATCCCCGGCTCCATTAAGATCCACCGAGGCCAAAGCAATTACCCGGCAGCGATGGTGGGAGCTGCTCCACATCAGCTGCGGGTGTGGAGCTGTTCCCCCAAGCTCTGGCCTTGCTCTGGTCTGGTGGGGACTGAAACCCAGCCCAGGGGTCCCACCATGGTCCCCCCTTGCAGCCCTCACCTGCGCCACGGCACCAGCAAACACGAGGCTCCAGTCGGGCAGCCAGGAGCAGCCAGGCAGCACCAGCCCGTAGATGCAGAGGCAGAAGAAGGGGAGGACGTAGAACATAGAGATCAGCATCTAGGGGACACACGGAGAGGGTCACCCCATCCCCAGTGCCACCGGGGGGACTCCAGCCCTGCCTGGACCCTGCTCACCTGCACTTTGGGGTAGGCGACGGGGTCCCGCAGGTACGGCTCGTGCTGGTAGATGTACTCGAAGCACGAATCAGCGGGGCAGTCCAGAACCACCTGAGGAGGCGGACAGTGGCAGATGCACCCTCCCCTGGACCCTCACGGCCCCTTTGGGACCCCCATGCAGGGACCCAGCACTCACCATCCCCCTGAAGAAGGTGAATGCAGCGATGAGGAGCAGGACCAGGACCAGCCCCATGTCCTGGGGCCGCTGGTACAGGCGCTTGCGCTGCTCCTCTGCCACCTGGGAGAGGGAAAACGCCCTGGGTTTGGTCCCACACCCTGTGGTCCAGCTCTGGCACAGGGATAAGGGTGATGGCTCCCAGTGCAGCTCCCCACTGAGCTCCTGCCCCAGCTCCCAGCTCACCTTCTCGGGGCTGAGGCATGGCAGGGCCTTGGGCTGCTGGAAGAGCCTCACCCCAGCCCAGATGGGGATGAGGATGTAGGGCAGGTTGAGCAGGAAGACAGGGCTAAGGTCAGAGCTGTATTTCCCTGGGGAAGGAGAGCACAGGATGGGCACAGCACGGTATCGATACCTGCTGCTTGCCTCCAGCTCAGCACCTTCCTCCTCTGCCTGCAGGCAAGTGTCTGGGAGCCAACCCACTGGACAAACAGGGCATGGAAGCAGCCTGGATGGAGCAGAGCCCCGCTCCGCACCCCTGTACCTATGAGGTTCCCAAGCAGGAAGACGATGATGCTCATCATCAGAGAGCCCAGCCAGAAGAGACCCAGGTTCCTGTAGTTCCTTCTGCAGAGACATCAGGATTAGACACCTCTGATCACCCCCTCGCAACATCCCTTCCGAGATCCTCCAACCCCCGGGAGCCCCTCCGGGCTCTGGATCCATGAGGACACCATGCAGGCACTGGAGCCACTTTGCCTCCCTGCTCACCTCTGGCCGATGGCCGCCATCATGGCGAGGTAGAGCCCGTAGTGGATGACTCCATCCCAGTAACAGATCATGATCCCGTGCGCCGTGCGCAGGTAGGGCTCACCCTGCCCATTGGGAGATAACGGATCATACGGGATGGGGCCGAGCACCTTCTCAAGCCCCCTCCCCATGATGCTGTCCTTGCATCACCCCTCTGTGGCAGGAGCAGCTTCGGGAGCAGGAGCAGCTTCTGTGTGCGGGTGAGGTGGTACCTCTCTGACGTAGACCTCCATGAAGCCAGAGATGAAGCCATCCTCCTCCAGCGAGATGATCAGGTCGACGACGGAGGTGAAGGAGAACACCACAAACACTGTGGGAAATGAGCCAGCTCTGAGCAGACCCCACGGCACTTCCCAAATCCCACATCTGCGCTCCCTGCAGGCACGGGATCAGTCCCCACACCCGGGGCGGGGGGGGAACACTCACCGCAGAACAGGGGGTCCTGGAAGTGGCTCCCCCCGCTTACAAAGAAGATGATGGAGAAGAGGCCAGCAGACACCAGCAGCCCCGTCAGCACCAGCGCCAGCGGGCTCCTGCGGGACAGCAGGGTGGGCTCCAGCAGCAGGGCACAGCCAGGGGGTGAAGCCCTGTTTTTCCCAGTGCAGGTGAAAACACCTTTGCCCCCCCAGTTTTGAGAGGCGTCCACCAGAGCAGGAGGAACGGCAGGATCAGACCCTGGCGCTGCCCGTCCCCTGCAGCAGGGCAATGGCTCCTTCCCAGGCATGGGTGGGAAGGGGCTGCCTCGCCAAGGCTCCTGTGCCCCCACTGTGGTCCTCCCTCTCTAGGCTGCGGCAATGGGCCACTGTGTAAGAGACTGGGGAACTTGATTATAAACTGCATCAGTAACGAGATGCTGAACCTGGGTCCTAAAAGAGTGAAGAGGTTGTAGGGAAGTCGCCCCTGAGCTTGCTGCATCCCCTGCAGGAGCTGGAGGAGCTGCAGCTCTGCTCTAGCCAATGCCTCAGCTGTGAAACATGGAAAGCATCCCAGTGTTTTCACTCAAGCCTTTAACCCTGTTACCAAAGGAAAAGGCCAAGCAGCGGCTGATGGTCTGCTTACAGGCGGCTGTGACAACACCCAGCTCCTGGTTGCCTTGTGCTGCTGGAATTGCTCTTCCTGGGCCGGAGGAGGTGAGCGCAGGACCCCGTGCCAGGGCCAGGAGGGGTGACACAGCAGCACCACGCGAGGGCTGAGCTTGTCCTCAAGCATCCAACCAAGAGATGGGCTTGAAACTCCACTCAAACCGATGCAATAGCTGAGGTGTCCCCTCCTCAGCGCATTGTTACTACTGCATCAGTAGTAACACAGGATGATTCGTTCCAATACAGGTGCTGCAGTGGGGCAGCCCAACGCTGGGCTCCTCTGGGCACTGTGTTTGATGGGGCTCGAGGCACAGCAACACGCGTTGGCACGCACCGGGCTACCCCACACGTACCAGCACCTTGGGGTGCTCAGGGCACCCAGCTCCCCCTGGCAGGCTGAGGGGCTTGGAGGCCACCATCGCCCATCCCACAGCAGGGACTGATGAAAGTCATCCCCCTGAGATGCAGGAGAATGCCACAGGCCTCGGTTTGGGGGAAGCAGCATTCCCACATGGATGTGGTTTTATCTGGTTCTACTGCGGATTTCATAGCGATGGATCCCGGAGAGCTGGGCTGCAGCACTGCAGTGCCACATGGGATGGAGGGGAAAGAGGAGGCCAAAAATACAGGAATGAAAATTGGGAGATCATTAAGTAAAGTTTATCGGGTGGCCAGGAAAGTCCCGGCTCTGGGATGAAGAGAGATTTGGCTAAAAGCCCTTCCTGCTGCTAAAGCTACAGCAGAATTGAGCTATAAAAAGAAATGTATAATGAACGGGAAAAGGAGGGTGAAGGGGCCTGGCAGGAACGAGAGGATAGAAAGTGTGGAAAAGGGATGGAAGAACACAAGAAGAAAACCCAGAGTTCCTGAGACATGAGACAGGGAAGCAGAGAAAAGCAAAGACTCTGAATGCGGATGGACATAGAAGGGAAATCAAACATGTTAGGGATTGGTGGGAGCAGACCCCGGCTCCGGCTGTGCCACATGAGGATGTGCTGGGATCCTGTGTGGGATGTGGGGAGGGGATGCAGGATGGGGATGTGCTGAGCACCCAGGACACGTCACTCAAACCCAGAGTGGGGCTGTTATCAGCAGGGTGACAGCAGCGGTGATGGGGCCAGCCTGGGCGGTGGCATCAGCCAAGACACCAGGAGGGTCACTTCTGGGGGGCAGAGCAGAGTTCAGAGGGGACCCAGCGCCCGGTGTTGGAGGTCTTATCCCTGTGACCTGGAGCCAGGTAGCTGGAAAGGATGCTCCTCAATCACAGAGGTGATCAGCACCGTGATCCCCCAGAACTGGGGCTACCATTGAGCCCCATTGTGCTCCATGGTGTGCAGTGAGCCTGAGCGACCCCTGGTAATGTGATTTCAGAGCCATAAAGGCAGTCAGGAACCACGTCAGCAACCTCCAGCCTGCAGCAGCCTTCCAGGGGCACCAGGATGTACCCCCCCCCCCCCCCAGCACCCTGCCCTGCACCCTGCTGCCCCCCCTCCGGGGCCGGATGGGACCCAGCGGCGGGTCCTGGTGGGATGGCTCCGGCCAGCCTCGGGCAGAGCCTGGACCCAGCGCCCAGGCCAGGACCCGCACCCAGAGCCCCGAGCGCTGTCCCCAGCCCGCACTCACTCTGCC